TTGATTATTACACAACTATGGTTCATTTAAGACAGCTAAATGTAGGTTACTTAATTTATTTTAAAATGTGCTTTTTACACCGCAGAATGAAAACATACTACCCAATTTAATTTTGATGTTCTGCTGAAGGTCTTGCCTTTTATTTCTGTGAATAAGGAGAGAAGAAGTCAAAGTAAGTAATAATCAAAGTTTATGTTCTTGCTGGGCTGACTTGATCATGTATATTCACTGGATTATTTCAAAGGTATAAGCAGCTACACACATAAACAGTTCAAAGGTGGCCATGCATTGACCAACAATGGAAATGTGTTTTGAATCAAGAATCACAATTAATCCATTTCAGCAAACTGAATTCATTAAGACAAAAAGATGAAAGGAATTTCTATCATTTTCTAAATGCTTTAATATGCCATTTTTGTACCATAGTGGATTTAAACACTTCTCCATTGATTTTGTTATTGACTGTTAATTCATTGAGGGGAAAATCTTGCCTTTTGCTTAGCTTGGTATAAGATGGTAGTTCATGGTACCATCTTTGAAATATGAGTGTTCAATGAAAAAGGCCAATGATGGACCAGTGGCTAACAGGGAATTGAAGTGGTGCACAGAAATGGATTAATTTATCTTTGCACTGTGGAAGCTCATCCCAGAGAGGTCCAGTCCTCTAGTCTGTGGGGTGTGTGTGTTCAGACATATCTACAAGGATCTTTCGTTCCTAATTCATGGACAGTGATTGTGCTATTACTGAGTCAGTGAGTAATCAAAAACAGTATAATAAGCGAATGAAGCACAGAATACCAAGTCTGGATCAATGATGAGTTTGCGTGGGGCATCTGAATCCATTATTCTGATTAAACCCTGTCTGTGACTCTGAGGTCCATTGCATCTATGGGAAATGTGCTTATAGAAGAAGATAGACATAGTCAAGGAATGTATTCTTGATTTTTTTTTTTTTTTTGCTTAGTGGCTATAGACTGTATTTGTAAGTAAATCAATTAACGAATAAGTAAAGAATACTACCAATAGCGACAGGGAGGGCTATACTTTATTCAGTTATGAAAGGAGCTAATTAAATTTTGAGTTCAAATAAAATAGTCTCAGACTGGTCTCTCTTTCCTACTTTGAGAGTATGTAGGCAGATGCTTGCAGTGTTGTTCTGGGTTAGTACCGAGGTGTGACTAGTGTGACTGGTTGCCTATCTTATTTTAGAAAGGGAAAAGTTTATATATTTATGTAAGAATTTAGTTTTAAAATATTTAATATAATAAACATAGCCAATATAATTCATATTTATATTTAATAATTATTACACATAATGCTAACTAAATACATCAATATAAAATTATTTTAATAAATAATAGCTTAATACAATTAATTATACAAATTAAAGTTCCAATGATTAGATAGTTATTGAAATAAAAAAGAAGTCTGTCCATGCACATTGAAATTGTGAATATAGTAATTACAAACCCTTTCATATCTGCTGATTTTTATTTAAAAAGAAAAATGTAAATGATTTCTTGATGATTTGTGTAGTAAGTGAATAAATAGAAGTTAGTGTCACCGGGTGTTATTGTCCAGCGTCCTTAGGGTTCATGAATATTGATATTATTATTATGATAAGTGAATAAAATACTAATTTCATGTGCCAATCTGTTATTTAAAGGAGGGCAAACCATGGACAAGTGAGAAACACAATGAAAGGAACATGGCCCAATTATGGACTGTTCTTGTTGATAGTACTGATAAGAAGTAAGGTTCACTGGTTATACCACATGGTTGGCACTGAGATTGGGTCTGAAAGCCTTGTGGGAATTGAGTCTACAGATATATTGTAGGCGTATGAAGGATCTTGTTCTTGGGAATTTGTGATTCATGGGAAAATGAAGTATAAACAAATGAAAAAGAGTGTCGAGCCTGAACCAGTATATGAAGGAGCACAGTTAATCTTGTCTGTCCTCTCAAAGTCTATTTATACAAAGAGGTCCAGGACACTCCTTTTTGGAAATGTTATACAGACCCACTTTCTAGACACATTTTGCTATTAACATTTAAATTCGATTAAATTTAATAAAAAATAAAAATTCAGTTCGTGGGTCTCTCTAGCCACACTCGAAGCCACATGTGGCCAGTGGCTGCCGTACTGGATGTGCCCGTGAAAACATCTGTATCACTCAAGAAAGTTCCAATAGCGTGAACAAGGCCAATAGAGATAGCTGCAGATAACAGCATTTAGCTTTAGGTAGCAATTGTGGGTTTTGGGTTTTCTTTTAAAAGAAGAGTAGATAATTAAATCACCCTTGAAGTTGTTAAATGAGTAAACAAATCAATCAGTAAATACATGAATTAAAATTCACTATGGCCCATGTTTTGAATTGTGTCATAAAATAAGAATTTGAATTCATCTTAAAATGCAAAAGTTTTCCCCATCAAAAGATTATCTCCCCTTTATGCTAGGGATGCCTAGAAAGATAATAATTGCTCTTCCTGTGTTGGGTGGTAGATGCAAAGATTTTCATTATATCACCTCATACTAAGGATTAAATAATTCAATACACGTGACACAAACTATTGTTTGCGATTAATCTAGCAATGCAGAACTAAGTTTTATTTTAAAATATACTAAAAATTGACTTTTTTATTATTTTAAAAACCCATCTTTTTCCCCAGAATGAGTATATCACATTGGGTTTGGTCCTTCCCCCATGATGAAGACCATGGCTATTCTGTGGGTAAGTAGCTGTATTAGGAACAGAATTTCTGGTTTTGGGGTGAGTGGTTTGTTCATGTATGGTCATTGAAGAATGTAAGAAAAGGCTGTATACACAAAAATAAAATACAAGTCACCAAGTAATGATCAATATTAGGAATGTGTCAGCTGGGCTCAGTGGCTCAGCCTGTAATCCCGCACCTTTGCGGGGCTGAGGTGAGTGGATTGCCTGAGCCCGCGGGTTCGAGACCCGCCTGGGCATCTCTACAATAAATCAAAAATCAGCATGGTAGCGCGCGCTTGTAATTCCAGCTACTTGGAAGGCTGAGGCGGAAGGATCGCCGGAGCCCAGCAGGTCAAGGCTGTGGTGGCTGGGAGCGGCCACTGCACTCCAGTCTGGGCGACAGAGTGAGAGTCCAACTCAAAAAAAAAAAATAGGAATGTGTCATGGGCCAAGAAGTGGGACTAACCCATTTCAGTACAACTGAGATTCATTTTTTAAAAACATGGAAGGAATTTAATTAATTTTCAGAACTGTTTGATATTCCATAGCGTTTTCTGTACCACAGTTGATTTAAGCACTTCCATATTGGTAGCGATCCAGGCTATTAACTGTTTAAGAGAAGCTCTTGAGAGGTGAGGTAGAATAGATTGTGTCCCAGCTGTGGAGTGCCATTGTGGATTGTTGGCTAAGCCGCCTTTATAATTGCATCAATTAAATGAACCTGGCTCAATTACAGACTATTCTTATTGATAGTACCGATAGGAAGCAAGGTCAGTTGATTATACCACATGGGTAGGACTGAGATCGAGTCTGAAAGCCTTGTGGGAATTGAGTCTAGAGGTATATTGTAGTCGTATCAAGGATCTTGATCTTGGGAATTTGTGAGTCATGGGAAAATGAAGGCATACGTGAATGAAACAGAGTGCCAAGCCTGGACCAATGATGAGATTGGAGGGTGTCTGAATCAAAAATTTTGATTAAAGCCATCTTGAACTCTGAGGTCCATTTTTTAAAAGTGGCCTCCCTTTTTCCCTCTATGAAAATGAGCTTACAGCAAAGTCCAAGTTACTCAGGTGTCTTGATCTTGACCTTCACAGTTTATACCTACAGATTGAATTTTTATTAGCAAATCAATACATGAATAAATAAACGAACATAAATGTAAGGAGGTAAATAAAGGAGAGCTTGGCATTGACTAACAGTGAGAGTATATAATGACACATGGATTATTAGCATACATTTCTGTAGCCTTGAATTTCAGTGATGTATACTGATAAAGGCTGTTACCCCTTTTTGGAAGGAAGATGTAGACAGATATACATAAGACTCGGTATATTGTTTGGTGGTGGTTGTTTACTGATTGGTTTTATTTAGAGAAAGGAATATTACATTGTAAATAATAGATTAAGCAGTTATTTAATTGGAAATAAAAACGAGCGTAGTTCATCTTGAGAATACACCTTATGGAAAGTTATTATTAATGCAATTCTGTTCACTGAATTTTATTAAAAACAAGAGAAAGCATCTACTTTCTAAGTCTCTGTGGGTAATGTAATGTGCTCATAAAGACATAATGATATTGTCCAAGATGCTTGTCTGATGTTAATACATTGCCATATATTGATGAATTGTTACATGTGAATAGATTGTGTCCTTATCACAGTTAATTTTCTAACAGAGGGCAAAACACAGCTCAGTAAAAAGCAAGAATAATGATTAGTCTTTGATGCTTCCTTCTTAGTTTGGGCATGAGAATATAGACACTTAAATGTGAAAAGCATTTCTGTTCTGGGTTGTTTATGGGTTTACCTCGTGTGCATATTAGTATATGTGAATGTATAATCCAATGTTTCATGTGCCATTCCATAAATGAATATGATGACAGATTGAATTAATATATAAGTAGGTTTAAGCATAGTCCATTGGTGAAAGTATGCCATAAATCATTAATGTAAGTTCATCTATTTCTATACAAGTTGAGTCCTTTAAATAAAAAACTATACAAGCTCTTGCCTCTGTTGGTAGGTGTCTATAGACATATGTGTGCAATAGTCATAGTTCTTGTTTTGTATGATGAATTTAACAGTGTTTATTATTTTGTTTAAAATTAATGGTTAGAATCAATACATAAAAATAAGTGTTGTGCTTGGGTCAGTGATAAAATTTTGACTTAACTTCATAACTAATATCACAGAACCCCAATGTCTTTTTAATCAATCTAAATGTCTTTTCAATAAATCAAATCTGTACTACTCATTCTTTTGAAAATTGATATTTGACTTCACAGAATGAAGACTATGGCTGATTTGAGCAGACTCTGGTGGTGAAGATCTTGGTTATTACTTTTGAGGGTAAGGAACCCATGGATAAAGTAAATAACAGTTAAAAAGTCTTGTCAGTTGGGGTAAATTTTTTATTAGTATTCATTGAATTATCTAGAGTAAGCCATATATAGATCAATGATATGAATGTGTTAATGAAACAAAGATTGCAGTTAATCCAATTAGGCACAACTGTGGTTAAAAATAAGATGGAAGACATTTTATTCATTTTCAGAGCTGATTAATAATTCATCTTATTTTTGATCTACATTTAATTTAAGATTTATTCAGTAATAAAATATACAGCTGCACTGTACAATGTGGTTGCCCTATCCACATGTATTTATTTAAGCTTAAATAATTGAAAGTAAATACATTTTTAAATTTAGTTTCTGAGTCGCCTTAGCCACATTTCAAGTACTCAGTAACTGCATGTGACTATTAGTGGTCATATTGGAGAATGCGGTTATAGTACATTTATAGTATATGCAAAATCCTATTAGACAGCTCTTTATAAATGAGGGAGAAGTTGGAAGAAAATTGGAATGAGATGGCTAGGAAGAAAGGGTATTTTTTCATTGATTCATACTTGCTTCACTGAGGATCACTGCAAAAGTAATCTAGTCTGTTGGGAAAATATCTGGTCTATGAGAAAAAAGCCTATAAACAAATCTTGGTTATATTCAAGGATATTGTTCTTGGCTGTTAAAAAAAATTCACAAGTATTGATTTTATTATTGTCAGTGAACCAATGAATGAATCAATTAACAAAGATATAAATGAAGACAAAGATTGCTTATCCTATCCTGGATCAATGATGAGTACCCTGGGGTGTCTGAATCAAGGATTTTGATTAAACCCTATAACTCTGAGGTCCTTTAAAAAAGATTCCTGTTCATTATCTCTATGAGAAATGAGCTTTTTCCAGGAGTTAAAAGTAATCAGGATTTTGTTCTTGGGCTTCTGAGTATGGATTGTTTTATTTTCAGTAAAAGAGTATATGAATAAATCAAGAAAAGCATTATAAAAATAAATGAAGACAAAAACGGGTTATTCGCGGTCCAAGTGTGAGAGTATGTAATGCAATAAGAATCATTACTAATACATTTCTGAAGCACAAAGTTTCAGTAAAATAAATTGATCAAAGCTGACTCTTTGGGGTAAGGATCATTTAGATAAATGGATGTTAGAGTCTATGTTGTTGTTCTTGGTTAGGTTGTTCATTTTGGGGGGATTTATTAAGAAAAGGGCAAATTATTTACTTAAATTAATTATTGATTAAACAACAACCTAATTGAGAGAGGGCTTACACATGGATCTACACTGAGACAATGTCAAATGACCAGTTATAATTAATTCAATGTTGTTTACTATGTTTAAATTAAGTTCTTTAGTTTAATGTTTAAGGAAACACAAGGAAAAATGATTTGATGTTCCTGTGTCTAGTGAGCATATGGGCAGTCATTAATATAATCCCGTTTCTGTGGAGTTTGATACAATGGTATTATTATAAATTTTAAAAATTGATTAATATCCCAATCAATTATTTAAAGTAAGGCCAAAGCATGGACCAATGAGGACCAACAAAAAGAATATGAATTCACTTCTACACAATTACTCTCCAGACAAAGAAAACAGATGTAGGCTATTACATTTTTGGAATGTTGACTATATTTATATATTTAGATAGAAATTCCCTTCTCGTCTTGATACAGTTTCCTTAAAAGTGGAATAGATAAATGACTCCATGTGTCACTATTTAACTCCATATGTATGTAGGTATATATGCGTGTACGATTGATGAGAATCGAGGATGAAAGAACCTAGTATTCAGTTTAATCTTACTCTTTCTAGCATTATTCATTTAGCAAGAAGATGTAACTCTCTCCTGGCTGGGGAGAGGGTCTATAAACAAACACACATGTGTAATAGTCATAGCTCTTGTTCTTTCGTCTGGTGTTCATTATAGTAGTTAAATGTAATACTTGCATCGGTCAATCAATCAATCAATAGGTATGCCATTCATGGTTTAAATATATGGCAGGCACCAAGGCTTATTCCTGATCAATTATTGTTAACTGGAAACTGAATTTTAAAAATCTGAATCAGACTAGGTGGCTCATGCCTGTCATCCTAGCATTTTGGGAGGTCAAAGGGGAAGGGTTGCTTGAGCCCAAGAGTTTGAGACCAGCCTATGTGGCATAACGAGATCTCATCTCTACAGAAAATAAAAAAAGTTGTCAAGCATGGTGGCACATGCATGTGGCACCAGCTGCTAGGAAGGCTGAGGTGGTAGGATCGCCTGAATCCGGGAGTCTAAGACTGTGGTGAGCCATTATCAGGCTGCTGCCCTCTAGCCTGTGTGACAGAATGAGACCCCATCTTAAAAAAAAAATTCTGAGTCTAGACTGATTCATTTCTCGCTAATCTGCATATTTTTATATTTGCTATGTACTCCACAGAATGGATGTGCAATGATTCAATTACTCCCTAGTGAGGAAGATCTTGATTGCTGTCTTTTTGAGTAATGAGTGCAGAAACCTATGTAAGTAACAAAGTAATTGCTTCTGGTTTGGTGGTTTGTCATGGGTGTTAAGTCTATTACTGAAAAGGAATAAATGACTGCATATAAAAATAAAATGAATGAAGGTTATCTGTGGACTAATTCAGTACGTCTATGGTCAATTAAGAATAAGAAAGCAAGACTATTTCTATTCATTTTAATAGTTAATCACTCCGTTAATTATTTAATTTTATTTGAGTCACAGTTGATTTAAACCTTTCTTTATAAAGACATAGTTAGACACATTTCTAGTTAGACACATTCCAAGATGTAAGATCTTTTCAGTGTTTTAAGCGTGGCATAAAATGGTAGGTTCATAATTGTTGATTTTCACATTTTAAAAATATGGGAAAAGTCAATGAAAGAGGAGCAAATTTTAACCAATTAAAAGTATCTAATTAATCTGAGGCAGGCATGGCTATTTATCTATTAATCTGCAAAACTGAATCTATTACACAAAGGCTACTTCCTATTAGTAGAAGTAGGCTATTAAATGCTTCTCTCTGTGAGAAATGATCTATGAAGTAATCTGATAAACTTCCTCACCAAAGATGAGGAAAAAAGCTGAGGTAATCTGATTTCTTGTTGTTGGGTTTTTGTGATTTGTAAGTATTGATTATATTATTAGTGGATCAATACAATATGAGCCAATATATAAGTACATGATGACAAAGAAGACATAACAGGGACCCCATGATTGGTTTTTGTTGAGTATGATCCAAGGATTATGATCAGTCTAAATATGTACCAGTGATACCCATTCCCAAGAGGGTTTGGCTATTCATGTTGAAGGAAGTGAGAAAAAAATAATAAAATAAAATACAAAAAGAAGAAAAAAAAAGGAAGTGAGCCTGTAGACAGATGTGGTGATACTCATGAAATTTAGTTTTTGTATTGATTATATTATTAGAAGTGCATCATTGATTAAATCCATATACTAATGTACAGATGAAGAAAAAAGAATCTATTATGGTAGTATATAATGAAACAATAATAATATTACAGTAATAATATTTCTGAAGCACTGAGGTTCACTAGGAGTAAATGAAGCCTCTTACCCTTTTAAATGGAGGCGCATATAGACAGGTTTTATAGTAGTCAATGTGCTTGTTCTGTTTAGGGGGTGAATTGGTAGCTTTTCATTTTATTAAATAAGTATAAAGAATCCATTAAATAAATCAGTAAAAGGTTAATATTAACTAAACAGAGAGGGCCAAACATTGACCCATAAGAAGCATAGGTTCTTATTCTGTATAACTGCTACCCAGATACAGAAAAATGATCTGGGCTCTATTCACTTTGGTTATTGTGTGCGTAGACAGATGCACACATTATATTTTAGTTGAGTTGTTGGGTTTACTTAACTGTTAATTTTCTTTAGAAATGTGAATAGATGATGAAATTAGTCCTTGAAGTTGTACAACAGAAATATATAAATATGGATGTATGTAAATTTACACGCACTTAAACAAAGGAAATCATAGATTATTGATGGGACTGAGTTGTAAAACAATAGATTAATTTCATCTAAATGCAGTCCATTTAAAAGTGGACTTAAATTGCTGTTGTCTACATGGGGTGGAATACAGAGACAACTATTCATATTACATATAGTTTTTTTTCTCATCTTTGGTGAGGAAGTTTATTAGTCTGTTAGTTTATTAGTCTACTAAACATTAAGTTTGAACTAGTCATAGGTCAATCATAGGCCAGTGGTGAAAATCTGTTACCTATCTAGGATTGCAATTAATCCAGTAATGCGTAACATCCATAAACAGAAAAAAATCACAGTAGTTTCACTTTTCTGACACTGCTTTGGATGTCACAGAATGGAGACTTGAGGGCAGATTTAATGACCCTCTGTCGGCGAAGGTTTAGATGGTTACCTGTGATGGTATGATGTGTGTAGACTGAGGTTAGTAATTGTTTTAGTTATTTTTTTTAATTTTAAAGATGTGGGGTGCAATTCAGGATTAAGTATACAAATGGTCATTGTGTTTTAGTTCTTAAGTTTAATAACAAAACCTTGCTAATGAATTTTAATTTTATTATCATGAATGGATCCATGACAGAACCAATAAATGAATATATAAACAAATACAAAAGAAGGTGAATCATTGTTCAACTATGAACACATGTGATCAAGCAAGAAATACTATTTACATAAATGGCCAACACTAGAGTCTTAATAAATACATGGATCAAGAATGTAATCTGTTTATCTAACAATCTTAAAGATAATGGGTATAATAAGTGGTTAATATGATTGTTCTGGATCAGCTCGAGTTTGAGACTGTTAATTTTATTATGAGAAAAACTTAAAATATTACTGCAGATTAGTAAGTACTTAAACGATTGTGGAAATGAAAGCATAATGCAAAGCCTAATGAAGACGAGTTATCAATTTTTTATCATTTGATCTTTGTACTCCTCAGGTGCCCATCTCATCTCAATCTGATTGACGCCATGACCATGGACTCTTTGGTGTGTTAGCATGATAGCTCTTGTGAGTCATAGTCAAAATTCTTGTTTTGTTTAATGATGTTCTCTGTATTATTAAAAAGTGTAAAACATCAAATAAGGCCAACAATAATTTATTACTCATTTCTTAAGAGTAAACTTATTCTTCTGGTTTTCCTATTGGTAGGTAATTTGATTATCAAAGAATTATTAATGAATCAATGAACAAATCCATAAACAAATGTAGAAATGAATGAAGAAAGAGAGAGTCAATGTTGGACCAATGATGACGACTGGTGGCGTATGAGTCATGGACGATGAATACAGGTCTGGAAGTCTGAGGTCAACATGATACGAAATCGAGTCTATACCTTTTGATCCTGTGGGTAGATGTCAGGAATCTTCAAGGGTGTTGTTCATCTTTGTGCTTGTGTATTTTCATAATTGGATCAATGAACCAATACACAAATATATCAATAAAGGGGATGAGACATTGTCCAATTATGAAAGTATCTGGTGAGACAAGAAATACTGTTAATGTGTATCATAAACACTGGCTCAAAGGTGTTACCCCTTTGCCTGAATATGGTGCATATGGTAAAAATAAGCCTTGTCCAGACTGGGGTCATATTCATTGCTTGTTTTCTCAAGGGAAAAAAAAATCACAATTTCATGTATACGTAAATTACTTAATAAGATGAAAGGAGAAGTTCAAGGAGAAATGGGCAGAGTATTTCAATCTTTTTTTCTTTTCAGCGTTGTACTCTCAGAATGGCTGCTCCTAACTGATTTAAAGCACTTCTTCCTGGTCACAAGTTCTCCGGTTGCCTCTTTGTGTTTGGAGCATGGATACCAATGTGAGTATTTTTTAGAGAGCATTTAATGGATTAATAAGATGTGGTAGAATCAAAAAAAGCCAATCATGGCGTAATGATAAATATGCAATTATATGAAACGTTGTATGAGATCCAAGCCTTTACCAAATATGAAGACTGGCCATGATCATTGATGAGTCATGGATGATGAATGTGTGTTTGAAAATCTAGTCTACTACCTCTGTTGGAAATAATCCTATAGACAAGCTGTAGATAGCTCACACCCCTAATCTTAGTACTTTGGGAGGCTGAGGCAGAAGAATCGCCTGAGCCCCAGCAGTTAGAAATCAGCCTGGCAGCATAGTGAGACTTTGTCTCTACCAAAAAAAAAAAAAATCAAAAAATTAGGCGTGGTAGCATGTGCCCATAGTCCCAGCTACTTGGGAGACTGAGGCGAAAGGATTGCCTTGAGCACAGGAGGTCAAGGCTGTGGTGAACCATGATCGTGCCACTGGACTCTAGTCTGGGTGACAGAGTGAGACCCCTAGTCAAAAAAAAAAAAATTAAACCAAAAAAGGAAATAATCCTATAGACATATTAAGAGCATATAAAGATCATTTTCTTGATCTGTGTGCTTATGAATGTTGACTCTGTTATTATAACTGAATGTATTAAAATTATAAAAAGAAACAATAAGCAAATATAAATAAATAAATATAAATAGGTGATTATAGTGCTTCAAGACATATGAAAATGTCTTCCTTTATTAAGGTCAGTGTTTTTAATATACGTTAACAGATTTTATTGCTTATGTCTTGAAGCAATAAAATCTGCTAATATATATTAAAAACACTGACCTTAATAAAGGAAGACACGTCTCAAGGATGTTACTTCTTAGATGCAAGGTTATATAGACTGTATAAGTAATAATCATTACCATTAATATAAATAGATCAATGAATCAATTTTAAATAAAATATTGTCAATTTATGAATATTAATAAATAGCCAAATGACTAAGTCAAATGTGGAAGGCAAGGTCAACGAAGATAATGTTTCAGTTTTTGAACCACCTTTTTGCTTTGCACTTCTCAGAATGGATGCACTTGAAGTGACTACGGCTGACTCCTGGGGTTTGACACACTGAAACCCACGTGAGTAATAAAGTCCCATCTTGTTTGAATATGCTGTTTTGAAGAGTATTCACTCTGTCTTTTAAAAGTCTGAAGTAGAATCATTGAAAGCCATCCATGGCACAATGATACAGATATAACTTATATGAAATATTATATTCCCTAATCCGTATATAAAACCTTGAGGGTGATTAATGAAATTATATATAGATGTGGCAAATTCATTTATAGAGAGATGTAGGATGTTCAAGGCTCTTGTCCTTGATTTTTTGTGTGATTCATAGGTATCTGTTTGATTATTGTCAGGGAATTAATGAATTGATTCATAAACAAATGCAGATGAGAATGAAGAAAAAATGTCCCACATCTGGACCAATGATGACGACTGGTAGCGTATGAGTCATGGACGATGAATGATTCGTGTCTGGAAGTCTGAGGTCAAACACAAATAAGAAATCTAGTCCATTGCCACTGCCAGAAATGGTCCTCTAGACAGATGTTAGGAAGAAAAAGGAATTATGGTCTTGGGTTGGATTCTATTATTATAATCAGATCGCTGAAAAAATTGATACACAAATATAAGTAAAGCACTGTTTAATTATGAAAATCATGATGGGATGAAAGAAACTATTCAAATATATGAAAAATAGTGAAGTTTATTATGAATGAACAGAACATCCACAGAACAATGTTCTCAATCTGTGTCAGTGGCAAGATCAATGTTGTTGGTTTTCTTAAAAAAAGTGTTAACCAAAAATCATGAATGGCTCAATGAGAAGTGACGTGCATAGATCGATGACGGCAATATCTCAATTTTATGTTGTTATCTGTTCTGCGTTGTACTTCTCAGAATGGACATACCCAGCCTGAGTTAAGCATTCTGCTGTGATTATGTTCTCCACGGTCTCCTCCGTTCAGAACCTGGAGACCAATGTGAGTAATAGTCAATGTTCTTGTCATTTTTTGGTGATTTATTTAGGATAAATTTTAAAAGATTCACTGTAAAATTTAAAAAGTGCCAAAAAATAACCTAAGAAAGCCTTCCATGACCCAATGATAAATACGGGATGGATATGAAACACGTTGATTAATCAATATTTACAATACTGAGGATGATTGATTAAAAAAGGTATGGCAAACGATTCTCATAGAGTGATGTTAGGGGTACTTAAGCATCTTTTTCGGTTAGTGGATCTTGTTCATGAGTGTTTTAGACTCAGTTATTTACTTCAGTATTACTGGTTTACAGATAAATTCATCTGTAAAGAATGTAGAGATGCCTGAGATAAAAGAGGCCCAAGCCTGAACCAATGATAATTATTTCTGGTGAATGAATTAATGAAGATGTATAATATATGTCTGAAAGTCTGAGGAACAAATACAAGATGAAATGACCCTGTGGTCAGAGATTAGTAATATACAAGAATTTTGTTCTTTTATTTTGAATTCATAAATTTGATAGTTATTATTATTAACAGATCAATAATGGAAGTATTAAATAAATGTATACATCAATAAGTATGACTTAGTATACTACCGATGGTGATGTTTTGTTCAGTTACCAATACATGTGGTCCAGGAAGAAATATTATTAACACAAACCGAAAGCACTGATTTCCGTTAAGAAATAAGTGAATCAAGGCATAATGTTATTGTTTCATGAGCTTACATTCACTTATAAGTAATAGTCAACTTTGTAATTCTGGTTCAGTCCCAGTCATTGGGTGTTTTGTCTAGAAAATATGTGTGCTATACTGATTAATCAATACCTAAGTGATTTAGTAAATTAAATGGGGAAAGCAAGATTCAATGGAGATAAAGTTCTTTTTTTTTTTTTTTAAATCAACTGCTCTGCTTTGTACTCCTCAGAATGGACAAACTGAAGCTGATTTAAGGGGTCTCCCACGGTCACATGATGTATGGTTGCCTCTAGAACAACCATGTGGATGCATAGAAAGCAATGTGAGTTTTTTATGGATGTATATTCTTTATTTTAAAAGTATAAAATATAGTCAAAGAAAGCCAACCCTGGCCCACTGATATGGAACTGATATGTAGCATTATATGTAAAACCATGAGGGTGATTAGTCAAAGGGATATATTGATGAAGCAGGTGATTTTATATATAAATGTAAGACTATTTAAGGCTCACTCATTTTCTAGGTTTTTGTGCTTTTGTACTTATTTATTTTATTGCTATCAGGAAATTGATGAATTAGTTAGTAAACAAAGGTATAGAAGAATGAAACACACACACACACACACACACACACACACACACACACACACACACACACACAGCCCAAACCTGGATCAGTGATGACTGCTGGTGGCATGTGAGTCATGAATGATGAGTATATGTCTGGAACACTGAGCTCCAACATGAAAAGAAATCTAGTTTATTGACTCAGGTGGCAATGGTCTTGTAGACAGAGTTAGGATTTTATGAGGATCTTGTCTGGGATCTTTGTGTTCATGGCTTTGAATTCTATTATAATAAATTGATCCATAAAAGAATCCATGTCCAATGAAAATATCATTTTATACACCTTAAATATGTATAACTCTTATTAAACATTTTAAAGTAAAAAAAAGAATTAGTGTACAACTACATCAAGTAATGATTGAAGAGGAGGGGGAAGCATTGTTCGGTTATGAAAAAATGAGTGAAACAAGCAATTATAATACATACAAAAACATTAAATTAGTTAAGAAACAAATAGTCCAAAGGTGTTACTTCCTTGGACCTAATGAGATATAGATAGTATAGATGGTATCAATCCTGGCCAATATTCTTGTTCTGGATTAGTGGATGCTATTTGTTTCTAAGAATATATATTGAGCCAAATAGGGGTGCCTAAGTGACTGAGTAATGAATTGTGTATACACAAGGGTCAATAAAGAATACTTTCAAGTTCCCATCTGCTCTGCAGATGGTAGATAAAAGCAGGAGGTGTTCAAAGGGCCCAAAGTTTCAGTTAGACAGGAGAAATAAGTTTTAAAGATCGATTGTCCAGCATGGTGACTATAGTTAATAATAATACATTGTATATTTCAAAATTGCTGAGTGAATTTTTAATTGTTGTCACCACAAAATTGGAAAGGATGTGAAGTAATATATTTAATTAGCTTAATTTAATCATTCCACTCTTTATCAATTAAATATTAATAATATTGAGCAGTTGGAAATAGACTATTATGGTCCTATAGACAGATCTTAGGAGTATAAAATAATTAGTTTTTTGATTTGTGTTTGAATTTTGATCCTATTATAATTTATGGATTAATGAAAGAATCCATGTGTAAACGTGAAGAGCAAAAAACAAAGAGGAGATATTAGGGTTTACAATACTGAGTGATCTTTCACAGAAACAAAGATCTGAGTATCACATTTCTCACTCATAAGTGGACCTTGAACAACTACTGTAATACCATAAGAAAAGGATTGGCAGTAGCGGGAAATGACGAGGGTGGGGGGGCAAGGAGTTGGGGTTAACAGTAGTCAATATCTGCCTGGGGCAGCGGGGGTGCACCTCAATCACAAGGGTGACTTTACAATGAAAATTTGTATACCTAACCCTTAACTGTACTCCAGAATTTTAAAATAAATTTAAAAAAAATAGAGAGGTTCAAGTATACCCGCTCTTAATATATGTGATGGGGCAATAAACTGTTAATATTCAGGCAAGCTACTAAAGTCCTTTCAGTAACAGAAATGTTCAGATGTCTTATCTCTTTGGAGGAGGACATAGTCAGTATAAAGTTTTTACTTGAGTTAGTGGCAAGATATCTTTCATCTTCTTAGGAAAAAAATGAACAAACATTAACCCAAATTAATATATACCTAATCTTTTACTAAACAAAAGGTAGAATGCACAGACCGATTTTGTTATTATCTTCTCTGCTTTGTACTTCCCATAATCAGACTTGGGCTGATATAAGCACTGTGTTCTACCATGATGGTGGGCACCACGGCTGCCTTTGGGTATTAGAGCATAGAGACCAGTATGAGTTATAGCCAATGTTCTTGTCATGGTTTCAGTGCTTTGCACAGTATATTCATTGCGCGCCTGAAAATATTATATGTAATTAAAGAAGGCCAACCATTGCCCAATGATAAATATGGAGTTGACATGAAGCATTATGTTAGTGCATCGATATTTGCAGTGATGAGCATAATTAATGAAAGAAGTGTCGTCACTGAGGCAAATGAGTCTGTAGAAAAATATTAAGTATCTTTAAGGTCTTTTTGAGTTTTTATGATTGGTGCTTATTTTATTGTTATGAATTATGAATTTATTGATTAGTAGAAGTAGATGAGAATAAAGAGAGACTCAAGCCAAGACAAATGATGATAACTGGTAGTGTAAGAATCTGTATGTTGAATACTCTGAAACTCTGGGGTTCAATACAAGATGGAATACAGTCTATTGATTCTTCTTAAAGTGATTTTATCTACATATTCCAGGAATATAGAGGGTTTATTTTCTGGGATTTTTTTTTTGGTAAAGTTTGATTCTGTTATTTTAAATAGATCAATGTAACAATCATTGTAGAAATATAAGTAAGTAAAGATGAGGTGTGTGACTCAGTAAAGTAAGTAAAGATGAGGGCTCGGTGGCTCAGCCTGTAATCCCGCGCTTTTGGGAGGCTGAGGTGAGTGGATTGCCTGAGTCCGCGGGTTCGAGACCCGCCTGGGTAGGCGAGACCTCATCTCTACAATAAATAAAAAAAAAAATTAGCTGGGCGTGGTAGTGCACGCCCATAGTTCCAGCTACTTGGAAGGCTGAGGCGGAAGGATGGCTGGATCCCAGCAGGTCGAGGCTGCGGTGGCCGGGAGCGGCCATTGCACTCCAGTCTGGGCGATAGAGTAAGATTCCAACTCAAAAAAACCGAAAACAAAAAAGATGAGGTGTGTGAAGTATATCCACCCTTAAAATATGTGATGAGGCAATAAAAACTAGTAAAATGTATTGAAAATGTTGAATTTCTAAAAAATGATTCAAGTACCCTACTTTTTTTACTCAAGGTGATAGAGTCTGTGTGGAGAGTCAAATTTCATTTTCTGGATCAATGGCAACTTAGGCATTCTTATTTTTCTTAATACAAAATGTAATAATAAGTATTACCCCAAATTAAATTAATATATACCTAAATGGTCCACTAAGTAGAAGGTGAAACGCTCAGAACAATGTTGATAATGTTCAATCTTGTGATCACCTGCTTTCAGAATGGACACACCTGAGCTCGTTTAAACATCCTGCTGTGATCATGGTTGCTTCCATGGTGAAATCTTGTTTAATGTTAAAATGTACAGTAAGAAAAATAATACAAACGTAAATAGAAATAGATAATATCAATGTACTAAGTCCTCGACTAAAGATAATAGAGGCTGTGATAAGTAACTTACTGATTTGAGCCAGCTGCAATTTTGACATATGCTGTTGAAGTCTGACATTTGTTATATTAAGTGAGAAATTAGTAAATACCACTATCAGTTAACAGATACCTAAACGACTGTGTGAATGAGTAGTGGAAAGCATGGGCCAATGGAGAGGATGTCTTAATATTATTATCATCTTCTCTGCTTTGTACTCGTCAGAATGGATGCAACGAGCGGCCATAGGCATTTTGCTGTGATCAACATTAAGCTGCCTCACAAGAAAGAGACCCTTGTGAGTAATAGTCAAAGCTCTTGTTTCGCTTTGGGCCATCTGTGTCAGGATACTCATGGTAGTATTAAGAAGTTCGAAGTGTAATAAAAAAGCTAACTATGACCCAGTTGCAGATATGATATGAATGATTATGTTGATTGATTGTTAATGTACAACACGGAGATCAGTTAACGAAAGACACATAGTGTGCGGGAGAAATGCTTCCACAGACTAATGCTAAGGCTTTTCAAGGCTTTGTGAGTGATATGTGTGTTTAATTATTACTAATGAATTAATAATTTATTTAAACACTTGTAGAAATGACTGAAGGAAATGAGAACATGGACCAATGATGACCACTGGTGGCGTTTGAGTCATGGACGATGAATGATTTGTGTCTGAAACTCTGAGGTCCAACACCAAAGCATCATTAATCAATTCCATCTGATAGAAATTATGTTACAGATAGGTATCAGAAATGTATTCTTACTTAAGATGCATTGATTGAGATTTATCATTAATAGATCAATTGTAAAACAAACACGTATGAATAAATAGGTAAGAGAGTGAATCATTGTTCAAGTATAAATATATGTGATGATACAAGACATATTATCACTAAAAATTTCAAACACTGATGACCCTTAAGAAGCAAGTGGATCCTGGATGTCATCTGTTTGACTAAGGTTTGTATAGATTCTAATAAGTCAGAGTCAATTTCCTTTTCTGGTCAGTCTCAAGTTTGAGGTTGCTCCTTTTGTGCAGAGAAAGCATCTTCATTAAGAAAAATAAATAAATGCCCCTAAAATGGAATAAAGGAAACATGGAAAGGAAGCATCAGGGGAGCTATCAGGTCTCAATTTTATTTATTCATTTATTTATTATTTTATTTTATTTTTTGAGTTGGAGTCTCACTCCGTCGCCCAGACTGGAGTGCAGTGGCTGCTCCCGGCCACCGCAGCCTCTACCTGCCGGGCTCTAGCGATCCTTCCGCCTCAGCCTTCCAAGTAGCCAGAACTACAGGCACGCACCACCACTCCTGGCTAAGTTTTTGATTTATTGTGGAGATGAGGTCTCGCCAAGTTGCCCAGGCAGGTCTCAAACCCACAGGCTCAGGCAACAATTTTATTTTAAATCTGCTTTTCTTTGTATTCCACAGAATGGATGCACTTGAGCTGTTCTGAGCATTAATTGTCATGACACCTGTTGCTGCTTCTGTGTATTAGGAGTATGGGCATCAATGTAAATATTAGGTCAAGCTCATGTCTTTATTTGAGAGGCTTCACAAGGGATATTCAGCTTATCATTTAACTGTGACATAAAACTTAAAAGACCAGTCGTGGTCAATGATAAATATGAGATTGGTATGAAGCATGTTATTTATTCACTCATTTATGACACATTAAGGATAATCCATGAAAGTACATCAAACTGACAAATGATTCTATAGAAATCTATAGAACATTCAGTGCTCTTGTTCTTTGGTTATATATGAATGTGAGTTATAAAATTAATATTAGTGACTTAATGAATAAACAAATGTAGATCAGAATTAAGCAAAAGAGTCCCACACCTAGACCAATAATGATGGATGGTGCTTTAGGGTTAATAGATGATGAATAATAGGTGTCTGGAACTTTGAGGCTCAACAGAGAAGGGAGTATAGTCCATTGTCTCTAAAGTGATTCTATAGACAAATTTTAGAAATACAAAAGGACCGTTTTCTTGGATTGTTTTTGTGACTTTTGATTTTTTAAATAAATTCATGAACATACGACTCAGCATACACATACAAAAAGTAAAGTTGAGGATTGTGAAGCTTGTCTATGCAGTATAAGTGGTGATGCAATAAAACTATTAAAATGCACTGAAAATACTGAATTCCATTAAAAATGATTCATGTGTCTTCTTTTCTTAAGGATCATGTGTACAATATAGTCAAAGTTCTTATTTTGGGAAAAAACAAGTATGATATTGTTCCTTTTTAAAGGGAATATTAGTAAGTGTTCACACACTTTCATATATATCTAAATGACTGACTAACAGAAAGGTTCAATGCATGCATCCGTAGGAAATATCTCAATCCTGTTATTATCTCCTCTGCTTTGTACTTTTCAGAATGGACAAAGCTGAACTGTCTGAGCATTTGACCATGAACTTGAACTCCACGTGCATCTAGACCAATATATGTAATAGTCAGATTCTTCTTGGGTTTGACTTATTTACCTAGAGTATTCAATATAATATTTAAATAGTTTTATGTGTAATCAAAGAAGGCTTGCTATGTCCCAAGGATACATATGAACTTGACATGAAACATTATGTAGACTTATAGATATTTGTAGTAGTAGAGATGATGAATGGAGGTGGTATGTTAGTGGGAGCAGATGACGGAGACAGAGAATAGGATCTTGTCCAGATACTTATTTTATTATTATTATTGAATTAATGAATCATTAATAGCCAATGTAGAAATGAATGGAGGAAAAGAGGGCCAGTCTTGGATGGGGAATGAATATTGGTGGTGATCAATACATGTCTGGAACTCTGTGGTCCATCACAAAAGATATCTAGTCTGTTCCGTTTGTTTAAAATGATCCTAATAAGCAGACGTCAGGGAATCAGCAGGATGTTGTTCTTTTTCTGGGTGTTCATGAATTTTTAAAAATATTCATACTAACATAGCAATGACAGGATAAAAACATATATAAATGAATAAGGATGAAGAGACTGAAATATTGTTTGTTGCTGAAATGTATAATAGCCGGGCTTGGTGGCTCAGCCTGTAATCCCATGCTTTGGGAGGCTGAGGTGAGTGGATTGCCTGAGCCCGTGAGTTCGAGACCCGCCTGGGCAACTTGCTGAGACCTCATCTCTACAATAAATCAAAAATTAGATGGGCGTGGTAGCGCGCGCCTGTAGTTCCAGCTACTCGGAAGGTTGAGGCGGAAGGATCGCTGGAGCCCAGCAGTCGAGGCTGCGGTGGCCGGGTGCGGCCACTGCACTCCAGTCTGGGCGACAGAGTGAGACTCCACCTCAAAAGAAAAAAAAAAATAAAGTGGGCAAAAGATATGAACAGACACTTCTCAAAGGAAGACATTCAAGCAGCCACCAGACACATGAAAAAATGTTCAAACTCACTAATCATCAGGGAGATGCAAATCAAAACCACACTGAGATACCACCTAACTCCAGTCAGAATGGCAATTATCAATAACTCAAAAAATAACAGTTGCTGGAGAGGGTGTGGCAAAAAGGGAACACTTCTACACTGTTGGTGGGAGTACAAACTAGTGCAACCTCTGTGGAAAGCAGTGTGGCGATTCCTAAAAGCTCTAAATATTGACCTCCCATATGACTCCACAATCCCCCTACTGGGAATATACCCTGAACAACTCAAATCACTCTATAGAAAAGATACCTGCAGATGTATGTTTATTGCAGCATTGTTCACAATAGCAAGAACCTGGAAGCAACCATGCTGTCCATCAAAAGAGGACTGGATTAAAAAATGTGGAACAGACCCGGCTGGGCAAGTTGGCGAGACCTCATCTCTACAATAAATGAAAAAAAAATTAGCTGGGCGTGGTAGCACACGCCTGTAGTTCCACCTACTCGGAAGGTTGAGGCGGAAGGATTGCGGGAGCCCAGCAGGTTGAGGATGCGGTGGCCGGGAGCGGCCACTGCACTCCAGTCTGGGCGACAGAGTGAGACTCCACCTCAAAAAGAAAAAAAAAAGAAATGTATAATAAAGAAGGGTAATATGGATATAAATTACAAGGGATAGATAATAGAGTGTAATGCATGTTAGGGTCATATAGATAGTGATAAGTAATAGTTATTTCTCTGAGTCACTTGCAAGCTTGACATTTGTTGTATACAGAGAAAAATTAATAAACTTCAACATAAATTAGCAAATGGCTATGTAAATGAATGGCGAAAAATACAGATTAATGGAGAAAATGTCTCAACTTATTTTTATCATCTCTTCTACTTTGCACTCTTTAGAATGGATGCATCGAGCTGATTTAAACATTTTTCTGTGATCGAGATTACGTTGCCTCTGTGTTAGGTCACTGTAAGTAACAGCCAAAGTTCTTGTTTTGCTTTGAGTCACTTGTTTCAAGATATTTCTTGTATTATTGAAAATTGTTAAGTGTAAAAAATAATAAATAGCCCAGTGATAAGCGCAACATTATGGTCAGTTAATCAAAGAGATATAGTCTCTGTGGTAGTTCTATAAACTGTGTTAGGGATATTCAAATACCTTGTTCTTGGATTTTCAAAATCGTGTATTCACTTTATTATTACTAATGAATAAGCGACTTATTCAGTAAAAATATACAAATTAATGATGAAAAAGAGACTAAACCATGGATTAATGATGACCTCTGATGGCATATAGGTTATTGATGATGAATACATGTTTGGAACTCTGAGATGCAAGAAGAAAATAACCTAGGTTTTTACCTTTGTTGGAAATGATTCTACAGACAGATGTCAGAAACATACACAAGTTATTTTCTTATTTTAGATTCACAGATTTAGGTTTATTATTACTAATGGATCAATGATAGAACCATTAAAACATTAAACATATATATATAAAAGTAGAGAGTTACGTTTCATTGTCCAACTACAAACATGTGGTGAGACAAGATAGCAATACTAAAAGTAGAAGATACTGATTCCTCTTAGCCAATAAATAACTGAATCAGAGTGTTCCCTCTTTGGATAAGGACCATGTGGCCTCTATAAGTAAGAGTTAATTTTATTTTCTGGGTCATTCTCAAGCTTGAGAGATTGTTTCTTTTGTTAAGAGAGAAAAAGTCTACAATGTGAAAAATTTTTAAATGCCCAAATCACTTAAGAAATACAGAAAGGAAAGGTTACTGGAGATAAAGTCTCAATTTCTTTATTATCTGCTCTGTACTTCTCAGAATGGACACGCCCAAGTTGAGCATTGTTCTGTAGTCTTGAGGTCTCTGGTGCTCTCTCTGTTTTAGGAACATGGAGACCAATGTGAGTAACAGTCAAAAGTTCTTGTCTCCGTTGGGTGACCTGTTTAAGAATATTGACTGTAAGTGTGAAATATAATTAGTGACCACCAATCATGACTCAATTATAAGCTGTAATTAATATACATGAAACTTTGAGGTCATTTAATGGAAGACTATTGCTATAGGAAATTATTCTATAAGCAGATATTAGAAGGAATATTACGCAACTGTAAAGAAGATCAAAATCATGGGCTTTGCAGCAACTTAGAAGGATTTAGAGTCTATAATACTCAGTGATTTATCACAGAAACAAAGAACTGAGTACCATATGTTCTCACTCATAAGCGGGCGGTGAACATTTACCATAATACTGTAAGAAAGGGATTGGTAGTGTCCAGAACCTGCCAGAGGGAAGGAAGGACGCAAAGCATTAATAAGGGTACCTGATCTCAAACCAAGCAAAGCAGGGACCAAAGAGAGGCCCAAACTTTACTTGTATGATGACTACTTGTATACCTAAACCTGAATTATACCCCACGTCATTAAAATAAATTAAATTTTAAACAAAGAAAAGAAAGATCCAAGAATCGTGTTATCTAGTTTTTGTGACTCTTAGTATTCATTTTGTTATTATTAGTGAACTAATGTATTAATCAATGAAATCATGTGGCCATGAATGAGAAAAATGAGACTCAAGCCTGGATCGAAGATGACCACTGGTGGCGTGTGAGTCATATATGATGTATACGTGTCTGGAACTCTGAGATCCCATAAGAAAAGAATCTAGCTTATTGCCTCTTTTAGGAATGATCCTATAGATGATTTGAGAATATAGAAAGATCTTGTTCTGGCTTTTCTTTTTTGTTAAGGAATTTTTATTTTATTTTAATAAATAGATCACTACAAGAGTCAGTGTAGAGATATATGTAAATAAAGATGAACAGAATGAAGCATCATTCATGTATGAAATAGTGTGATGGCGAGAGTACACATCATTTATACCAAGAACACTAAAGTCTATTAAAAAAGCAAGTGATTAAGGGTGCTACCCCTGGTTAAGCATCACATAGATAACACAAATAATAGCGTGTATTCTTGTTATGGGCTAGTGGGAAGTTCCATGGTGTTTGTTTTTCTTAAAGTGCATTTAACTTACATTACCTCAAATCAATATATGTCTCAAACTACAAGAATCAGTGGAGAGAACATCTCAATCTTGTTTTCATCTGCTTTTTCTACTTCTCAGAAGGGACACAGTTGAACTGATCTCAGCATTCATACGCTCCACGGTTTCTCCCGTGTGTAGGAGCGTGGAGACCAATGTGGGTTATAGTCAGTGCTCTTTCCTTGGTTTTGGTGGTTTGTTTAGGTTGTTTATTTTGTTAAAAATTATGTTAGGAAATATTAATAAATACCTAAATGACTGAATAAATGAAATAAATAAATGAAATAAAATAAAATAAAATCAGCTGCTCTGCTTTGTACCTCTCAGAATGTATGCAGTGGTGCTGATTTAAGGATTCTTTCATAGGTACCAGATGTATGGTTTCCTCTCTAAGCACATGGAGACCGATGTAATTGTCAATGTTCTTGTCATGGTTTGAGTGTTTTTCAGAAGGTATCAATGCATTATTACAAAGTTTGGTATGTAATCAGCGAAGGTCAACTATAACTCAATCTTAAGCATGGGATTGACATAATGCATTATGTTGATTAATTCACATATGAAGCAAAGAGGTAAATTAATAAAAGATATCTAGTGTCTCTGAGAAATACTTTTATAGGCAGATGTTAGAGATATTTAAAAATCTTGTTCTTGGGTTTTTTTACAATTCTTTGTTGTTTACTTATTGATGAATTAATCAATGAACAAGTGAAGACATGAATGAAGGAAAAAAATGTCAAATTTGGGCCAGTGATGAAGTCTGGTGACATACGTGTTTTGGGTAATGAATGCTCATGCCTGGAACTTTGAAGTCCAACAGGCAAAGGAATCTAGTTCATTCCCTATGTTGGAACTGATCCTGTATACACATATTAGGAATGTCAAGGATCCTTCTGTGTATATTTTCATAATTTAATTAATGTACAAATGTATGAGTACATGAAGACACATAGACTCAAAGATAGACTGTGTCATCTCTACTGTTGCCCCTATTTAGAAACAAGTTCTTGGATTTTACTAGTTTGGTTTTTTTTTTGAGTTGGAGTCTCACTCTGTCACCCAGACTGGAGTACAGTGGCCGCTCCCGTCCACCGCAGCCTTGACCTGCTGGGCTCCAGCTATCCTTCCGCCTCAGCCTTCCAGGTAGCTGGAACTACAGGCGCGCGCTACCACGCCCGGCTGATTTTTTGATTTATTGTAAAGATGAGGTCTCGCTGCCCAGGCGGGTCTCGAACCCACGGGCTCAGGCAATCCACTCACCTCAGCCTCCCAAAGGCGTGGGATTACAGGCTGAACCACTGAGCCCGGCAGATTTTACTAGTTTTAATAAGGTCAGAGGGGCAGGTACTTAAAATGTAATTTCTTTTCTAGATCTCTGGGAATGTAAACATTCAGCTTTTTGAAAAAAAATAATTGATTTATTAATTATTAACTCATAGTACGAATGAGTTAATAGCTAAATTAAGGTCAAGAGCCAATCTCTCATAATAATGTGTTATCAAACCAGGAATGAGGTATCTAGTTGTAGAGACTCCCAAGACTATTATATGTTTGGGTGGAGGCACTAAGACCGTATGTCTGACAGATATTTTTCTTAATACAGCTGATAGATTCAAGAGTGCTCACTATTTTATATGAAAGTAATACTTGAAGTAATTCAGTAACTAAATGGAGAGTTAGTCTAGTCTAAGAATAGGAGGTGCCATAAACCAATTTTTAGGTTTAACCTAATGATTTATTCAAACAAAGTCGGAATCTTTTTTGTTTCACCGTCTTCAGAGTCTACTTTGTATCACTCTGAGTTGATGCCCATGACTGATGAATCAGGATTCTATGGTAATGGTGGGACTGACCGCTACCCAGTATACAAGGAGTGTGTTCTTATATAAGTCATATTCTGACAGTCTTGGTTTTGGTTGGGTGATTTACTTGTTGACGTTCACAGTACTGTAAAAGGTAGATACATACCTAGATAAAATCAAAAGTGACAAAACATGAGACTTCTGTTGTGAATTAAGGATTTGATTTAATTAGTACAACTGTGGTCAGTTTTGAAAAGCTAAAGTTTGACACCATCTTAGCAATTTTAAGCTGTTCAGTATCCTGTTTTAGCATTTTTAATAGTTTATATAAACTTTCCTATATTACTAGGTAATGTAGTCTGTTTTCTTCTTGAAGGAGGAGCACATATGATGTAAATAATTGTTATTATCATAGCAGAGGCAGGTGGAATGTTCTTCTGGTTCATTTTTACATCTTAATAGAATACATAATTTGACCAAAAATGGGTCAAGCATGGACTGATCGTTTGAGTGGAATCAAATCTGAACTAAGGTATGTGAGTATTACATTTTCACACTATTTTTATAGTTTATTACAAAAAAAAACCCCTAGTCTACCTCTCTTGGAAATGAGTCCATTGACAGATATTAAAAAATCTTGTACTGGAATTTTGGTGGGTTGTTTATGCTTATTAATTTCATTATCAGTTAGTCAATAAACATAACCATCATAGGTACAGTAAATATAGGTAAGCATGTTAAAGGGTGGTCTCATTATAAGTGTATTTCCTGTAATAAGAATTATTATTCCATGTCTCAAACATGATGGTCCATGAATAAAAGTGAACCCAGCCTGTGACCCAAATCAGTAATCAGCCTATACACACATCTGTGTTTTGAGTTTACGCTCATTTTTTCTTTCAGTAAACTGGAAAAAATTATGTAAATATGGAAATCAATAATAGGTAAGGAAGTGAAAGCAAGCGTGGACCAGTTATGAGGATGTGTTTTCAAGCAGGAGTATAAATTAGTCCTTTTTAGAACAACTTGAAAAGAGAGGAACATTTTCATAGCTATATGTTATTCCATTTCATGTTTTTCCCCCTGTTTATCAGACTGCTTATATCATTTTGTAGTTGATAAACATCTATGGGTTAGAGCTAATGTTTCATTTTAAGCAGTTGGGTCATTGTCAGGGTTATAGGTGTTGAATGGGATGATGAATTGGTGGTTGTTCATTGTTATAC